CTTAGAGGTAGAGAGCAGATCATCCCATTTGGAGATCAATTGAGATAGAAAATGAAGAAAGAACATCTATATGGAGTTAAGGCATCAGGTGACAGGTTGGAAAAGAGACAAGATAGGTTATGAGACCTTTGAGATTCCGGTTCAAGAGTATATGACTCTTTTTAACAAATTTCTAAACCCCTTGACTTTGAAAACAAAAAAGGATGCCAATCTCCTCCTGAGGAACCGCTATGGTTAAGGTCTAAAAACAAGTCAAAATTCAAGACAGAGCTTCCAGTAGGAAGGGAAAGATACCTTCCTCTTTGGACCCTGGCCATTCTTGCTATGAGAAATTATAGTGGAAGCAGAACAAGATTACCTTGGCTAAATCTTCTTTCTGCCCTTATTCTGATCCTGTGGTCAACAGACTTCCCAGTGGAAAACACAGACCTAGGTGTTCTGGATTTGCCAGCTAGCACATGATACCCCCCTGAGCAAGATCTGGAAAGGAATGAATTCCAAACCCAAGAGTGGGGTAAGCAGTTACCTTCTTATTGAGTTTCAGCCAAGTGGAGAAACCCTTAGTGTCCTGGTATTGCAGACCAAAGAACCAAACTTCCCTCAGGCCAATAGTTTTCACCACCTGGAAGAGAAAACACAAAACAACCACCAATTGAATGCCTAGCCTGTACCAGACACAGAGGACACAAAAGTGGAGCTCATTTGGTCCTAACCTTAGAGAACATAAGGTGCCCAGGGTCTGGCAAGAAAATACACTTGAGCAACAGTCAAGAAGTGAGGTTAGCATCTCTTTGCCCAAAGTACTTCTGAGGTAGGGAATGGATCTATTATGAGCACTACCACACCCCAATAACTTTATATATATTATCCCTTTTAACTTTCCCAAGAGCCCTCTGATATGATTATAATTAGGCCCATTTTGCAAATAGTGAAAGTAAAGTTCAGAAAAGTAAAGGTTCAGTTAGTCAGTAGCAGAGTCAGATCTGTTTGACTCCAAACCTATTCAAATCTAGTGCTTTCTGTTACTTCCCTCCCTCTATTATGCCATGCAGCTTTCCACTCCCAAGATGGATTAAAAACTGAAGGTAGAGATTGTTGGCTTAACTCCTGCATCTTGTTCCCCTGAGTTGCTCTTTTATCATTAGGAACTAGGAATAACGCCCACACCCTTCAGACTGAGTCCCATTTACAGTGCCCTAAGAAAGAACGCTTGAGGAGACAAAGCAGGGACTGTGATATCTATACACCCAAAAGTTGTACTGTGTCTGGGGGCTGAGATCCTTCTTTCCAGACCTGATTAGAGCCCAGCCATGATTTACATTACCACTCACACAGTTTAAGAGTGGGACTGAGGGTGGAAACAGGGTGAGTACCTCAATATAGTAGCTGAGGAGCCCCCTGATGTTCTGGGCCTCTGGGCTGAGCAGTGGGAAGGAAAGGGAAGTCAGCCAGGAGAAGACATGTGGGATCTGTTTTCAAGTCCCTGGTATTAGCATGTTAATGGTTCTGGCAGGCAGCTGCACACCAGCATGCCTATCACTGGGGGTGAAGGCAATGAAGCTGAGCCACATCCTAATGAGGTCTGGCTAGCATCCGGCAGTCTTCTTTATCTTTTTTTTTTTTTTTTTTTGGCAAGGGCAGGGGAAGGGTTGAAAGCAGTAGAGGTGGAAGGGTGAGATGAAGAAACTTACTTGGAGATAGAAACAGGGAACAAGGACACAGTGTTGCTGATGTCCTTCCCTATGAATAAATCACTATTTCCCCTCAAAACACACACATATACCTCCACTGTATCCACAAAGTTTCTACTATGCCTCCAAAGCCAGGTCCCCCAGTCACTCTCAGAGCTTACAATCTACAGCTTCAGAGGCCCCAAGGAAAAAGTAGCTCATATGTATTAAGTACCTATTATGTGCCACTGAAAAACCCTGCGATAGCTATTATCTCCATTTTATAAATGAGGAAGCTAAGATTTAGAGAGGCAATCTTTCTAAAACCGTAGAGCCTAGACTAGAATCCTGATGTGTATGACTCTAAAACCTATACCATTCTTCTCTACTATGCTTTCTCTTTTTTAAAAAAAAATTATATATATATATATATATATATATATATGTTTTTATTGATTTTAGAGAGGGAGAGGGAGAGAGATATAGAAACATCAATGATGAGAAAGAATCATTGATCAGCTGTCTCCTACACTTCCCCTACTGGGGATCCAACCCGAAACCTGGGCATGTGCTTGGACAGGGAATGGAACCTTGACCTCCTGGTTCATAGGTCGACACTCAACCACTGAACAACACCTCCTGGCTCTACTATGCTTTCTCTTAATGCCAAAGGCTCATAGGAACTTAGGAGCCCTAGGGTTCTCAAGTGACTAACTGCTTTATCTCTCTTTTAGTCCATATATCCCAGCCAGATAATGAAATTTGACCACCTCTGTATATAGATATGGTTTCTGGCTTTCCCACCAGGCTCAGTCAACAACCACTTTGGAGAAAAGCCACATTCCCATGTCATCAACCTTCACTGTTCACTGGGGCAGTGAAAGTTGATGATCTTACCTTTCGTATCTTAAATCAGATGTCAGGAAACCTGAAAATCTCACTTTTGTCTCCACTTTGCTGTGTGATCTCAAGGCAGCACATTTCCTTCTTTCCTTCTCTAGCCTCAGCTTCCCAATCAATCCTGCTTCCCCATCTACAACAAGTTGTGTGGCTTAAATGGCCTCTTTCTTCTCTAGAGCTTTATCATTCTACTAGGAGCCCAGTGGCGCGCCCTGGCCCACCCATCTGCAGCACTGCCTTGACACCCAAACATGTCTGCAGAGCTCCAGCGCGCCTGGCCCAGCCTCCAAACCCTCTGGCCGCTTCGAGCCCCGCCCTCAGTCCCTCTAGTGGCCTCGGGCTGGTCCCGCCTTCTCTGGGTGCCTCCCCGCTTTTGCCTGTCTCCACAGCAATGCGGCGGCTCCGCCCCTTCATGGCGCCGGAGGAGAGCATGGAAGCCTCCCGCCTGCTGCGCTGTGCTCCTTCCCCTGGCAGGTGGGCCACGCGGCACTCAGAGTGTGAGAGGTCGGTGGCAAAGGACTTGTGGTGGTGGTGGTGGGGGGGGGCTCTCACCCCTGCCCTCCCTGGCAAGGGATGGTCCACCTCCTCCTGGCGCCTCCCCGCTTCCACCCTGTCTGGTCTCCAGCAATGCTCCAGCTAATATGCTAATGACCTGGTCTTTACCCCTTATGGTGTATCAACCATTCATTAGCATATTAGCTCTTTATTAGTGTAGATTAATCAGGTTTTCATAAATGACTAAGAAATACAATCCCATTTACCTCTTGCTGACTTGTGTAACTAGGGACATTTTTAGAAAAGATAAATTGGGGGGTAGGGGGTATATGGCAAGATCAAAAGACTTGCAGGATTCAATGGCAAGGATTCAATTCTAAGTCAATAAGCAGTAAGAATTGCCATCAGGTTTTAGATGGAGAATACAAAATGTTCATGTTGAAATGTGACATTGGCTTTTTATTTTTGCAGAGGATAGAGGGATAGTGTGTAGACAGGAAAGATTGTTTAAAGCACCTCTTATCTCATCCTAGGTATAATAGGGATCAATTAACAATTCTAATTGTTTTTCACATGGTTGCAGAAGAATAGTGTGTCCAGATACAATCAGTGAGAAGTAAGTTCCAAGGAACAATTCAGCCCCAGGAGAGAAAGAGACCTACCAAAAATGCTGAAGATCAACAAATAGGGCCAGGATACTAGGTGGGGGGAGCAGGGAGAAGACATGGAACAGAGCAGCAACTGGCTTTTGCCTGTGTCAATAGTCCCATTGTAGAGGCTCAGAGACCCCAGAATTAAAAGGGAGTTCGTTAGGTACAGACTACACAACTAGTCCCAGGAGTGAACTCTTTAGCCTCTTTTTGCACCATGTTGTCTGGTTCACTAGTGAGATGGGTAAAACTGTGATGAGAGGCAGATTATGGGTGCCAAAATAGTTCCAGGATCTGCAGTATCTCTGAGGAAAAGTTGGACAAATAACTAAAGTGCTATAAAAAAGGAGACATGTGTACTACTATTTGTAATACTTTTTTTTTTTAAAGCCAAATCTTTTTTTTTTCTTAAATATATTTTTATTGATTTTTCACAGAGAGGAAGGGAGAGAGATAGAGAGTTAGAAACATCGATGAGAGAGAAACATCGACCAGCTGCCTCCTGCACATCTCCTACTGGGGATATGCCCGCAACCAAGGTACATGCCCTTGACCGGAATCGAACCCGGGACCTTTCAGTCCGCAGGCTGACGCTCTATCCACTGAGCCAAACCGGTTTCGGCTGTAATACTTTAAACAAGAAAATAAAAAAGAACACACCTAGAATAGTCCAAAAACAAAATAGATTTCAGAATCAGTAGAGAAGTTTTAATCTATGTAAGCAGTGTCTTCCCTTATGAACACAGAGAAATGAGATGTATATAAATTTTCTACTTCTTTAGGCTCCAGTGCTTGAAGAGATGAGCAATGTCTCTCAGCTTACTGAAGTTCCAAAGTGAGGTAGTAAGGGGGGGGGGCAGGAAATATGGTCTTAAATCATAATTAAGGCTAAAAAAAATAACAAAAGTATAAAACAGATGACCCTTGGACCACAGGCTATAAGGAAATCTCAAGACTTGGAAATGAGGCCAAGCTTTGCTTGCTTTCAGGTGAGATGCCCACTCCAGAGGAAAGAGAAACCTCATTTTCTAGTGGGAGAGCATATCTAGATCCTGGTTCCAGGAATAATACCTGTAACTAGGATCCTACCCTTCTACTCTGAGAAGTGGCTCCACCCCTGAGGAAAAAAATTCTTTCTTGGCTCCCTTTGACCCCAGACTGCCAGCTCATCTGGCCTGAGCTAATATTTCTCAAAGATGCCGTGCAATAAAGCTTTAAGCAGCATTAAAATAAAGGATGCTAGCTGTGTCTGTGCAGGCGCAAGGGGTCAGGGTCGGACTCAGAAATGGCAGCCTCCATATTCTCCAGCCAGCTGATGGCTGCCACCACCCTTAGGAGCCACCCGCCCTGGATGGCGCTGCGGGCCGCCGCTCAGGTCCTGGGAAGTTCTAGATTGTTTAACAACCATGGACTCCAAGTACAGCAACAACAACAAAGGAATTTCTCACTACATGAATATATGAGTACTAGTGGCCCGGTGCATGAAATTCATGCACATTAAAAGGGAATTAATTAGAGGAAATATTTTAATATTGCTATTTGCCCTTTCTCTATAATAGAAGTGTCAGAGATGAAAGAAAATTAGTAAAATGTATATGAAAATCTTCCTCCTGTCAGAGTCCGGGGCACGCCGCGGGACCCAGAGTCAAGTCCCTGCCCACCCACGTGCAACTCAAAATTGCGTGAGACTTGCCCTGACCAGTTTGGCTCAGTGAATAGAGTGTCAGCCTGCAGACTCAAGGGTCCCAGATTCGATTCCAGTCAAGGGCATGTACCTTAGTTGCGGGCACATATCCAGGGGGGAGTGTGCAAGAGGCAGCTGATCAATGTTTCTCTCTCATCAATGTTTCTAACTCTCTATCCCTCTCCCTTCCTCTCTGTAAAAAATCAATAAAATATATTTTTTTAAAAATTGCGTGAGACCCAGAACTGGCTAGCCCAGGGGTGGGAAAACTTTTTGACTCGAGGGCCACAGTGGGTTCTTAAACTGGACCGGAGGGCTGGAACAAAAGCATGTATGGAGTGTTTGTGTGAACTAATATAAATTCAAAGTAAACATCATTACATAAAAGGGTACGGTCTTTTTTTTTTTTAGTTTTATTCATTTCAAACGGGCCGGATCCGGCCCGCGGGCCATAGTTTGCCCACGGCTGGGCTAGCCCCACCCCCACTGGCCGAGATCCAAACCCACTGGCCCCACCCCTGTCAAGCCCCACCAGATAGGGGGACACAGCCTCAGGTCCCCCATCAAGCCCCACTGGGTAGGAGGCGTGGCCTCAGGTCCCCCGGCCCAGGGCGGGGGGCACGGCCTCAGGTCCCCATCAAGCCCTGCCAGGTGGGGGGCATGGTCTCAGGTCCCCTGGCCTGGCCCGGTGCCACACAGCCTCAGGTCCCTGTTGATCGCTCATTATGGCTTGTTACGGGACCCCCACCTCTGCTGTGGGTGCAGCCATCTTGTGGCAGTGTGAGGGAGTGAGGGTCAATTTGCATATTACCTCTTTATTATATAGAATGGAATTGTTGCAAGAAGCTGGAGTCGCTATTCCCAAAGGACATGTGGCTAAGTCACCAGATGAAGCTTATGCAATTGCCAAAAAATTAGTTTCAAAAGATGTTGTGATAAAGGCACAGGTTTTAGCTGGTGGTAGAGGAAAAGGAACATTTGAAAGTGGTCTCAAAGGAGGAGTGAAGATAGTTTTCTCTCCAGAAGAAGCAAAAGCTGTTTCCTCACAAATGATTGGGGAAAAGTTATTTACCAAGCAAACAGAAGAAAAGGGCAGAATTTGCAATCAAGTGTTGGTTTGTGAGCAAAGATATCCCAGGAGAGAATACTACAGTGGGGCCTTGACTTACGAGTGTCCCGACTAACGAGTTTTTTGAGATACCAGCTGTCTCTTGGCCGATTTTTTGCATTGAGTTGATAGAGTAATTTGAGTTAACGAGCTCCTTAATGAGCTCGGTCTCGGAACGAATTAAACTCGTAAGTCAAGGCCCCACTGTACTTTGCAATAACAATGGAAAGGTCATTTCAAGGTCCTGTATTAATAGGAAGTTCTCAAGGTGGTGTCAACATTGAAGATGTTCCTGCAGAGACTCCTGAAGCCATAGTTAAAGAACCTATTGATATTGTAGAAAGCATCAAAAAGGAACCAGCTTACCGGCTTGCACAGAAGATGGGATTTGCACCTAATGTTGTGGATTCTGCAGCAGAAAACATGGTCCAGCTTTACAACCTTTTTCTGAAATATGATGCAACCATGGTAGAAATAAATCCTATGGTAGAGGATTCAGATGAGCTGTGCTGTGTATGGATGCGAAGATCAATTTTGATTCTAATTAAGCTTATCGCCAGAAGAAAATATTTGATCTCCAGGACTGGACTCAGGAAGATGAAAGGGACAAAGATGCAGCTAAGGCAGATATCAACTACATCGGCCTAGATGGGAATATAGGCTGTCTAGTAAATGGTGCTGGTTTGGCTATGGCCACAATGGATATAATAAAACTTCATGGAGGGACTCCAGCCAACTTTCTTGATGTTGGTGGTGGTGCCACAGTCCATCAAGTAACAAAACCATTTAAGCTTATCACTTCAGACAAAAAGGTACCAGCTATTCTGGTCAACATTTTTGGAGAAATCATGAGGTATGATGTTATTGCACAGGGTATAGTCATGGCAGTAAAAGATTTGGAAATTAAAATACCTATTGTGGTACGGTTACAAGGTACACTAGTGGATGATGCTAGGGCACTGATAACTGACAGTGGACTTAAAATTCTTGCTTGTGATGACTTGGATGAAGCTGCTAAAATGGTTGTAAAGCTCTCTGAAATAGTGAACTTAGCCAAACAAGCCCAGGTGGATGTGAAATTTCAGTTGCCAATCTGATCTGAGAATCCAGTGGATGGCTGAAGGTTTTAAATGTTCTATAATCATTAAAAATACTGTGTTCTGTATTATTATTGTTCCTTTTCTCATTAATAGGTGAAAATTATAATTGCCATATAGGCATAAAAACTTTTAAAAACATTTGATCTGCATTTAATTCTATTGAGAATGGGCTGTTTGTATAAAGAATGTGTAATGCAGTTATCTAGTTTCTTTTGTTGCAGCCTCCTTTTTCACTTTTACAGAATGCCATTTGCAATATGCCAGTTTATTTTTGTTGGATATAACATTCTTCATTAATATGAGTCCTATGAATAAAATAAATCTGAAGATAAAGCTTTATTCTTTAGTGTTAGAAATAGTATATCTAATAACTAGCCTTATTAGTAGAGCAATGTATTAAAACAATGTTTTATATAAGAAGTGTTTATTTTCAACACCAAATACCTAACTAAATATATCAATCACTATTTATAAACAAAGCTTTCAAACACTCCTCAGAATATTCTTTTAAATATTTCAGTGAAGTAACTTAATTATTTGAACATTATCTTAATTGTTACAAAACACCGATAACTGCAAGTCTTCATGATCCTGTGGTATTGAGAAGAACCTGTAGGGTTTCACCAAATAAAGGCATATATACTAAGGACTTGTCATACTAAATTAACAATGTCAATTTAAGTTAATAAAAATCTGGATAATGTTAATAAATAATGGATTAATGTTTTCTTTTTTAAGTAAACATAGTAGAAGGAAGGTGTTGTGTTTATTATTGTACCAAACACCTCTAGGAACTGATTTGTAGATCATGTACTGAGGCATGACATTACCTTACATATTATTAAGCTTCCTTGTGGATATCTCACTTGAATTCTGTTTATGTGTGCCATCTCGTACCTTCTCCAAAGATAACACTTTGTTCTTTGTGTCTCTATGTGTGTGTGTATAATCTTTTTTCACTGCATAAAACAGTGATAACTATTAATAGTGTTAATACTATGTGACATTAATAGTGTATATACCATGGAAGGAAATATCAGCCAAGCAGTAGACTATGAATGCAGTAGTGATGAATTTGAGGACTTCTACTTATTTGGATGGTCATAAAGTTTGATCAGATATACATACTGTGAGAGGTATCATACATAGCATAGTGATTATGAGCACAGAATTTGAAAGTAGACCATCTGGCTTGAATCTTGGCTCCACTGCTTACTAGATATATGAATTTGAGCAAGTTTCTAAATTTCAGTGTACCTCTGTTTCCTTAGCTCCTTTCTCATTCTCTAAAATTATTTAATGGGGGAGAGGGAGAGAAAATTATTTGAGAGAACATATAAAATATATACTCAAACCATCTACATGAATATCACTATCTGTCCAAGTTGATCATTTATTTACCTACCTACCTATCTTCCCTGCCATATTAAAGACTAAATGGAACCACAAAAAAATAAATAAATAAATAAATAAAGAATGCACATACCCAGGGACCAAAAGGAGGGAGCAAAGCAGGGGATGATATAAATAGATGGTTGCAAGCCAGAATTTTTTTAAAGCCTCAGGTTTAGTCTTAATCATTTGTTGTAAATTTTATAGTCTACTGTTTAAATAATGATGTTTTAAAAATGAAATAGATAGCATCTATAAGTAAAATTGCTGCTCCCAGATACTAAATCCCATTCATCCCACAGCAATGTGTACCTCCTAGACTCTGACACATATACTATAGGGACTAGGGTTTCAGTTTGTAAGACACGGGTTGTGGATTATATTCAGCCCTACAATACAAATCCTCAAAGAGACTCTGGAGTACTATAGCAGTGGTCAGCAAACTGCGGCCCCTTGAGTGTGGCTCTTCCACAAAATACCACGAGCGGGCGCTCATGTACAGTGTGATTGAAACTTCGTGGCCACACTCAAGGGGCCAAAGAGCCGCATGTGGCTCGAGAGCCGCAGTTTGCCAACCACTGTACTATAGGGTTCAAGCAGCATAAACTGGAAAACTCGGACCCAGTGAGGGGAAGAGATTTACCTCTGAGAAAATCTTCCCTAATTACCTGAAGTATTTGGATCTAAGAAAGAACCCCCCTTTGCCTCTCTTTCTTTTTTTTTTTTTTTTTTTTTTAAATATTTTATTGATTTTTTACAGAGAGGAAGGGAGAGAGATAGAGAGTCAGAAACATCGATGAGAGAGAAACATCCATCAGCTGCCTCCTGCACATCTCCCACTGGGGATGTGCCCGCAACCCAGGTACATGCCCTTGACCGGAATCGAACCTGAGACCTTTCGGTCCGCAGGCCGACGCTCTATCCACTGAGCCAAACCGGTTTCGGCAGCCTCTCTTTCTTATGTGAAGGCTGCCTATATCTGAGGTCTGTGGAGGAAAGGGGAGATCAGGTCAGTTCTGAAGCCTAGAGCACCTCCTCCCTATATACGCAATGCATCTATCTAATTAAACAAATTAGTGACAGAATCAGCCACTTCAGAAGCCCAGAGCAGGGTCAGAAAGCAAGGCTGAAGCTTCAAGAGGAAAGGTGTGTGAGGAATTACTTGTAAAACTGCGTCAATGCCCAAACACCTGAAGCCCATTGAGATCCCATTACAGGCTTGGCAGCAGCTACATCAGCCACCCACCTAAAAGCAAATCAATGCACAACTATAAAGTTCCAGTAGGGGTTACTACCATTAACTTATGCTACTCCACACTGCCTGTGCTCAAATGGCCACCTGCTCTATACCACAAAACATACTCGGCTAGAGTTCTAAGTTTAGGGACCAAACTTTCCTCCCCTCACAATGGGAACAGGCAAAGAAAAAGGAGGCCACAGAGGACACAGCTGACAAAAGGCACTGGGAAACTAAAAATGGTATGTGGCTTGATTCAAGGCATTCTACTACTTCCTAGCTATCTGACCTTAAACAGGCCTTTTTTCCCCCTCTCTAAGCCTCAGTTACTTATCTAAAAGATGGAGACATTACAATTGTAATAATAGATATCTGTTATTTTGTAAAACAAAATCCAAGAAAAAAAAAGGGCTGCTGCCTTCAATGCAGAGTCCACAAATCTTAATGACTTTACTGAGTCAGAAAAGCTACCTGGTTTCATGGCTCTCTTATCTGAACTTCCAGGGCAATTTTCACCTACTTATTTAGCCTTTAATAAGAATAACCAACATTAGAATGCCTGCTATGCACCAAGTACTTTACTTATTTGGGGATTAAATAAACCACAAAAATATCTGAGATTAGTGTGATTACCATTTTACTGAGGAAAGTAAAGTCCTAAGAGGTTAAATGAGCCATCCATGTTCACACAGCTAAATAGAGCAGCAATTTTCAACCAGTGTGCTGCAAGAATTTTTAAAACATGCAAACCTGACTGGTCAGGGGCACTGACCGCTTTTCCCTTAGATTGTCAAATTTTAAAAAATGACAACAGCCAACACAACAATAGCCATCCCGTGTGAATGAATCAAAGCTATACCTATTTTTGCCCTAGCTGGTTTGGCTCAGTGGATAGAGCATCGGCCTGTGGACTGAAAGATCCAGGTTCGATCCTGGTCAAGGGCACATGCCTGGGTTTCAGGCTCAATCCCCAGTAAGGGGCGTGCAGGAGGCAGCCAGTCAATGATTCTCTCTCATAATTGGTGTTTCTATTTCCCTCTCCCTCTTTCTTCTTCCCTGAAATAAAAAAAAATATATTTAAAAACAAAACAACAAGAAACTACATCTATTTTTTTGTCAGATTGGCAAAAAATATAATGTGTGTGTGGGTTTTTTTTTAATTTTTTTTGCTGTGCTGCAGAATTTTAGTAATGAGTTAATGTGTTCCTGAGATGAAAAAGGTTGAAAATCACTGAAATAAGAACAGAATTTGAACCCAAGGCCAACAGCGAATCCCATGCTCTGTACACCATCTCTGTATACAACCTGAGCTTCAAAAGTGTTTCCTTCATTCTAAGTGGGGCAGAGTTGCATTTATTTCCTTAAGGGCAGAGATAGTGTTTGATGGGTGTAGAGATCTTTCCTGATACACAGTAGACTTTCAGTCATTATTGAGTCAGCCAATGAATAGATGAATGAATGGATGCTCTGAGGTCTCACCTCTTTTCAAAAGCTTACAATCTTGAGGGAAGGGGGTAGGTAAAGTTAGACTAGAGGCCCAGCTGGTGTGGCTCCATGGTTGAGCATCGATCTATGAACCAGGAGGTCATGGTTTGATTCCCGGTGAGGGCACATGCCCAGGTTGCGGGCTTGATCCCTGGTAGGGGGACATGCAGAAAGCGAGATCAATGATTCTCTCTCATCATTGATGTTTCTATCTCTCTCTCCCTTTCCCTTCCTCTCTGAAACAAATTATATATATATATATATATATATATATATATATATATAGAGAGAGAGAGAGAGAGAGAGAGAGAGAGAGAAATTGCATTCTTAAAAAAAAAAAAGTTAGACTAGTGGTAGAGCTAGAGCTCCTGGCTGGGAAGGAGCCAAGCAAAGGTTTCTCAAAGTGGAATTCATGGTGGCAGCACTGCCCCCTAGTGTCACCTAGGTAATCAAGAACCATCTGAAGAACTCTAGGCTTTAGACAGGGAGTTAAGTGACAGAATGCTGTTGTAAAACATGTTCTCTCCCCTTCTTACCTGTGAGCACACTCATAAGAAGAAACAAAGGTAAAGTGGAGGAACTATGAACCTCAATTCCATTTCTCAGCAGTCCTTGGGCCTCCTCAAGGTATGGCTTCCCATAATTGCCTGTTGTTTATTGCTGGTACCAACAAGGTGCTTCCTCTCCAGTTGGCTTCCTCTCTGATCATCAGCTAGATCATCGCTTGGTTCCAGGATGGCCCTAGAGCTTTTGTCAACCCTCCCAAGGGTCCAACTCCTTCCTCCTAGGCCCAGTTCCATAGGGAGGGCCTTCTTGAATGATAGGTCTCAAAGGCCAGACAGAATGAATTTCCGTATGCCTCATCAATTTAGTGGGAAGAGAGTATACCCCCAATAGCCTGTGAACACATACTTCTGTGGATTCCTGCCTAGACTTGCCTTGGC